ATTTGAGACTGATCCAACTTTGGGTGCAACTGGAAGAAAGTCAGCCACAAAAACTGAAAGCTTCTTTGAAAATCCGCCATTGCCCTGTCTTTGATTTTTGAACAGTTATTGATTAAGCACTTGAAGCAGGGAGCTAGGGACTGGGAATATAATAACAGTGAATAAAATACAGTTCCTTTTTCAAGGGTTGACAATTCTTTAGGACAGATAAACAAAGACAAGTTTTTTCAGCACAATTAGAGCACAGGAAAGGAAAAACCTAATCCGTACTGGGGTTTGAGGAATCCTTTCTCAAGGAGGTGACCCCAGAATTAATTGGGTCAGATGTAGATCAGATGTAACATTACCATTAATGCATTAAGTAGGTGAGTGAAGGGCGCCTGGGTGGCTCAGTCAGTTAAGCATCTGCCTTTGGTTCAGGTGATGATCTCAGGGTCCTGGGATTGAGCCCCGAGTTGGGCTCCCCGCTTGGTGGGGAGTCTGCTTCTCCCTCTCCCTCCACCCCTCCCCCTGCTTGTGTTTTCTCTGTCTTTCTCTCTCTCAAATAATCTTTTTTTTTTAAGATTTTATTTATTTATTTGAGAGAGAATGAGATAGAGAGAGAGCATGAGACGGGGGAGGGTCAGAGGGAGAAGCAGACTCCCTGCCGAGCAGGGAGCCCGATGTGGGACTCGATCCCGGGACTCCGGGATCATGACCTGAGCCGAAGGCAGTCGCTTAACCAACTGAGCCACCCAGGTGCCCCTCAAATAAATAAATCTTAAAAAAAATAAATTAATTAAAATAGGTGAGTGAACATCTGCATGCTAAGAAGCTTATGTTGTAACATTTACATCAGAAGTTTATGAAGTTTTTGGTCTCAGGACCACTTTATACTCTTAAATATGATTGAGGATCTTAAAGAATTTTGACTTAGGCAGGTTGCATCAATCTGTATTTACTATTAGAAATTACAACTGAGGCATCTTTATTTATTCATTCATTTAAAAGTAACAATACTAAATTTATTACCTGTTAACATAAATAACCTGTTTTTATGAAAAGCAACTGTATTTTCCAAAACAAGAATCAAATTTAGTAGAAAAAAGGCATTGCTTTATACTTTTGCAAATCTCTTCAGTGTCTGCCTTAAGAGTTCTGTTTCTGCCAAACTGAGGGTTGCTGGAGTGGGGGGTGGGGTGGGAGGGATGGGGTGACTGGGTGATAGACACTGGGGAGGGTATGTGCTATGGTGAGCACTGTGAATTGTGTGAGACTGTTGAATCTCAGATCTGTACCTCTGAAACAAATAATGCAATATATGTTAAGAAAAAAAGAAGAAGAAGAAGAAGGTAGCAGGAGGGGAAGAATGAAGCGGGGGAAATCGGAGGGGTAGACGAACCATGAGAGACGATGGACTCTGAGAAACAAACTGAGGGTTCTAGAGGGGAGGGGGGTGGGAGGATGGGTTAGCCTGGTGGTGGGTATTGAGGAGGGCACATTCTGCATGGAGCACTGGGTGTTGTGCACAAATAATGAATCATGGAACACTTCATCTAAAACTAATGATGTAATGTATGGGGATTAACATAAGAATAAAAAAATTAAAAAATAAAATAAAATAAATAAATTTTTAAAAGAAAAAAAAAGTTCTGTTTCTGCATTCAATCTGCTGTGTTATGTTAATTTTTTTGGAAGTATCTGCAGAAAATCCAGCCTCACAGAGATAAGCAGTTGACAAAGTGAAGAATTCACAGGCCATCTGAAGGAGAGTCAGTACTGTAGACAATAGTGGGTCACTGTACTATATCATATTTTGGTGGGTAGGCATGAAGCAAAGCCATGACTTGACATGATTTGTGTTTAAGGCAGATGATTGTAGCAACTCTGGGGCCAATAAACTTGAATGAGGGAGACCACAAGTTCAGAGGTTATTCCACATGGTAATGCAACAGAATTGAAAGGACAAAGTTACTCTTGGAAGTTGCAAGTGAAGGCAAGAAAAGAGGAGAGGTTGGCTGCAGGGAGGTGCAATACAGGTTTCTTTTTGGCATGACCAAGACTATACTGTTACAGGCCACCAGCTGTAGTAAGGATTACATTTGGAAGAGTAAATCTTTGCGAAGTGGGAGGAAGAGGTGTAAAGTTCTACTGGGAATAGGTTGAGTGTGAGTTCACGTGGAACATCTAGATGAAGGTGTCTGGGAGACATCCGATTATGTATACATCTGATGTATAGAGAAGATATTCATGGTGGAGATAGATAATTACAAATCATCAGCAAACAAGTGGTGGCTAAATATTTGAGAATGGAATACATTCTCCAGAAAGAATGAATAGAGTGAGAAGAGTGAGCAAGCACAGACACCAGGGAACAGCTAAGTTAGAGTTGGATGGACATAGAGAATCTCACAAAGTGGCCAAGAATGAGAATCACCAAGAAGGTGGTGTAACTAAAACTGTGAGAGTAGAAAGTTCACGAAGACTCCGGTTAATGAGCCAGTTGCATCAGAAAGATCAGGCAAGGTAATAACAGAGACATGATGATTTGTGCTCTTAGAACAGTATCGGTAAAACAGATTGGGGAAGATGCAGCTTATAACCTGGATTGCAGAAGGCTGAAGAGTAAACTGGAGGTGCAAACAGAATGAGTAAAAGTAACGTTGTCCTAGAAATTTGGCAGAGACTAGAATGAGGAATAATGCAGTAACTGACATTTAAGAGAGTTTGATTAGCATAGAGAAGACTTGAACATGTTTATGAAGTAAGGCAATGAAGCCAGTTGAGGGAAGAAGTTGAAGACATGCATTATCAATCATCACAGAATATTCTGGGGAATAGAAGCAATTATCAGGAGACTAGGTAGTATATCTTTATCTTTCTTGTTCTCTTCCAAATATCACGGAATGTTGATCTTTCAGAGAGAATTACAGACAAGCTGTAAAGACTCAAAAATTCAGCAATAAACAACAAATTATTTCTGTGGTTACTAAAGGAAATATGAAAAACTTTTCTACATTGAGTGACATGGGGTGAGAAACAAGAAATAAATGCTCCATCACACACACACACATATACACGTGTGTGCTCGCTCATGGATGAGCCAGACCTTGAATAGGAGAGAGAAGGAGAAAAGATTATTAGGAAGAATAGCAAGGATTTCTTTACCCCACCCATGGGGTTCAGATTATTCCCTACTTCTTAGGAAGGAGGGGTTAGCCATGATACCAATGTACTTTTGCACAGTAAACTTCGTGGACTTCTCATTACAGAGAGCAGGTGCGGTTTTTTTTTCAACTAATCCTTTTATTGTCCTCAAAAAGAGCTGAAATAAAGAATAAACTCCTTAGGGAACTTTTTCTGAATGGTGCTCCTTGGAACATGAGTGTCCTTTGAAATGTTAATAAATCATCAAAAATAAAAGGGGGTGGTAGTCTATAAGTGAATTAGTTTGGGAAACACTGAGTTAAACAAAGCTGAGCAAAGCTTTCTTAACAGAAGGACTTCTCAGAATCATTACTATGATTACAGGCATTGGGAATTATTCAAGTGGGTGATAGAGTAGGCGCTATTTCCCAAACTTACTTAATCACTGTTTTCATTGAACACTTACTGACTTCTTGCCAGAAACTGGTGTATCAAGGAGCGTAGTTTGGAAAACACTGCTCCAAGGTATTGTTAAACTCAGAAGTGCCTACCTGATTCATTAGGGTCATGATCCTTGTGTTTAGAAGGATAGATGAGCAAGATACCACGCCCACCCCCCACTGCCAACAAAGACACTTGAAGAACTTAATCTTAAAGTTTATTTGAAAAAAATATACACTGCAAATCATATTAACCCATCACAGTGACTTCTAGTTTTGGTGTTTTAACATTCTGTTTTTGATTTTATAACACCTACTCACTTCTGAAAAATAGTCCGTAAACACAGTAGTCTCTCAATAACAGTGCTGATTGATTACTTTATAGTAGATGAATTTTTAAGTAGTTTTGCTTTTGAGGTCCGTGGTAGTATCCAATGGTAAGGAAAACCAGAGGAAGCCATCAGCCATGTTTGTGTCCCAGGAAGAAGCATGCTGTGCCCAGCACATCTGTGAGAAAAACATAACAGACCAACAATTGCATTGCCCATCCAAATAGGATTTTGCCATTTGGTTCCAATACGAACAAGATAAGCTTCTGGGAAATGTTTTATCTTGATTTTTTTTTTTTTTTTTTAGTTCATGCTGTTCTTTCATAAGACGAATATCACATGAATTTTTTTATTCATTTGAAATTCAGAGTGTGTTTGAATTCCAATTCAATCGAGATGGGTATCACAAAACAATAAAAAGCACGATCTCTGCTCTTAATGAGCTTATAGCTGGCTTTGGTAGATAAGAGAACAAATGAAAAATCAAATGATATGAGTTTAAATTGTATTACACATTAAATATGAAGCATCATAAGGCAGTACATAGTTAATTGAAATAAAAGACCGTAAGTAGACTGGGCATATATGTGTATGTGTATGAATTGAATTGCCACCCACACGTGTACGTATTCTAAAAATGTGCTTACATTAAGTTGAAGTCCTACTGAGACAGGTGAGGCTACTTCTATTGTTTGGGGATGCAGAGAAGAGAATAGAGACAAATCTGCTTCTTACACAAGTCAGCTAACTGCTAAGAACAGAGCATTATCCCCATGTCCCTGGAATGCCCAATCCCATCTGGATGTCAGCTGGGGTCTCAAGTTTAAGGTAAGGTCTGGTCTAAAGGAGAGACTCTTTCCCTCAACCTGGATCTCAAGAATCCAGTCTGACACCCAAACCAGCCATCTGGTAACAGCCAGGCATTCCTGACATGATTCCTGGATGAGTCATTTTCAGAACTCTCAAGTCTGTGAAGTGTACTGCTTTATTTTCATTCGCATTTTTTTTTTTCAGCTAGAAAAGCTTCCTGGTGTTGCTCTTCCTGTAAAAACATGATTAATATTCAGTCCTTGATTAGATCCAAATTTCTATAGATGGCAATGAACAGGTTGTTTTGTTCTTTCTCTCCAGCTGAGAACTCAGGGAAAGAATGTCATTTAATTTCTTTTCGACCTCAGGGAAATTCTTGGTGACTCTGTCCGCTATGTTATAGACGTCCCAGGGATGTGTCCTGTGCTTTCAGTGCAAACACGCACACGAAATCCCTTTGAAAATGGGCCATAAGAATATATACCAAAGAGGGACACCTGGTTGACTCAGTTGGCTAAGCGTCTGCCTTCGGCTCAGGTAATGATCCCAGGGTCCTGGGATTGAGCCCCGCAAGGGGCTCCCTGCTCAGCAGGGATCTGATTTTTCCTCTCCCTATGCCTGCCGCTCCCCCCTCCAACTTGTGCACTCTCTCTCTTTCTCTGACAAGTAAATAAATAAAATCTTAAAAAAAAAAAAAGAATATATACCAAACTGATGGTAGGCTAGGGAGAGTTGAAAGATCATGGTTCTGAACCAGCAGCCCAATTTGTTATATAGAGATTGTTAACATTTATTAAAAAATATAAAAATATGAGAGGGAAGTGTTTCTAATTGGGCTAGAAATTCTAGATATACTAGAACTACCATTGCATCGAGACTATTCAGGATATGCTGGGTCTAGGCAAAAGTGAATAAACAGAAAGGAACTGACCTATGGAAGAATACTGTTCCTTGATGTATATTCCAGGCATCTGCTTTCAATACAATATTATCAATTATGACTTTAGTAACATATATGATATCTTGAACACAGTGATGCTGATGATTATGCTATAAATATACTTTCCATATTTTCTTAGGGTTCATATTTTATTTATTGAATTTCTTTGTCTCATTCTTTCCAAAATGTCTTTAATTGTGATATTTAGTTAACAAGTGAAACTCTAGATAGTGTGACAAGAAAGTGACAAGCAAATCAATAAATGCATGTGATTGTAAGCAGCCAACAGCCTTGGAAGGCTCAGATAGAGTTGATAGCTTTGGGAAAATAGAATAACATAAATAAGGATTTAATATATTTTTATAATTAGATGTAAATATATAATATTAATTTATAGTGGTCAAAACATATATGTCTACATAGTTATATGAACATAACTTTTATAATCTATTGTAAACATGTATATTAATAAATAAACACACACAGGGAAAAAGAAGAACATAATTTATTAGAACTGTAGGAAAATAGGAACGAATATTTCAAGTTTAGTTCATGTTGAACGCAGTTGTACAAAAAGGAGTTCTGTGGAGTTTGGAGGACATTTTATTTCCCTAATTAACTTTTCCTGAGGATAGAATATGAAGTGCTCTTAATTTTTTTTTTTTTTTGAAGTGCTCTTAATTTTAAAGAGCATGAAGCAGGGGCACCTGGGTGTCTCAGTGGGTTAAGTGTCTGATTCTTGATTTTGGTTCAGGTCATGATTTCAGGGTGGTGAGAACGTGCTCCACATTATGGTGATCTGTGCTGGATGTGGAACCTGCTTAAGATTCTCTCTATCCCTCTCCCTCTGCCTCTCTGCACCCCACTTGCACGCACACTCTCTCTCTCTCTAAAAAAAAAAAAAAAAAAGCATGAAGCAAAGTGAAAAGTTAGCAATTATCCTAAATGTGGGCAAAAAACCACTTGCTTCCATTGATCATTCCAGAGTGTTCAGCTTAGATCAGGGCCTGGCAAACTAGAGCTTGTAGGACAAATTCGTGGCCTGTTTTTGTATAATCCATGAGCTAAAAATGGTTTTTACATTTTTGAGGTGGTATTAAAAATCAAAAATCAAAACAAAAAATAATACGTGACAGAGATTATATATGATTCATAAAGCTTAAATTATTACTATCTGGTGCTTTACAGAAAAAGTTTGCCAAACCCAGGCTAGCCCTTGCAGTGATTTTTATAAAGGTGAATACCCTGTTCCAAATCCTTTTCTTTGTAAATTGGCTAGAGTGATTTACATTATCTACATTAATACCTAGTGTTTTCTCAGTTGTTTATGATTTTAAGTTACTGATTCAATATCTTAAATGGCTAGTTTATTTCAAGTTTTAAAAACATTTTAATTGAGTCAGATTCAACAACATATTTTTTAAAAACTGTTTTGTTTTGTTTTGTTTTTGTCTTGATCAGTTCAGCCAAGATACTGTCAATTTTATTAGTATTTACATGGAATAAACTTTTGGCTTTGTTAATCCTCTATTTTATCTCTACCTTGTATGTTACAAATTTAGCTTTATCATTCCTTTTTTTAATACTTTTTCTGCTGTGTGCCCTTAATTTCTTAAGCTGGATGCTTATTATTTTGTTTATTATTTTATTTTTTTAAATTTTATTTTATTATGTTATGATAGTCACCATACAATACATCATTAGTTTTTGATGTAGTGATCCACGATTCATTGTTTTTGTAAATTTCAGCTTTTAACATTTTCTAATACAAAGATTCAAGCTCTAGACTTCTCATCATTGCTTTTTCAGTATCACTCATGTTTTGATACGTAGTATTTTTGGGTATTGGATAGTCCTAATTTTTTCCTTTCATTATTTCTTTTGTGACTGAGATTTTGAGCTCTGTTTTTCTCTTTTAAAAATTCCAGATATGAGGGACACCTGGGTGGCTCAGTCGATTGAGTGTCCGACTGTTGATCTCAGCTCAGGTCTTGATCTCAGGGTCATGATTTCCTGCCCTGCATTGGGCTCCATGCTGGGTGTGGAGCCTACTTAAAAAAAAAGTTCCAGATATATGAAGAAAAAATTCCAGATATATGAAATATTACTAATTATACTTTAATTTATAATCTTGCTATATTGTGGGCAGAGAATTATGTCTGTATGATACTAAATTTTGAGATTTGTTGTTTTCATGATCTAAGCATATTATAGGCCAGATTTTAAAAATGGTGTTTTTGTTTGTTTGTTTTTTCATGATTAAAAAGTATGTTTTGGGTGCAATGTTCTAAATATCTCTCTTATACTGAACTTGTTAATTGTGTTACTCAAAATCTATATGCTTATCAAGTGGAAAGAGGGAGGTTGGTGAATTTATTTACTTCTTGTGGTTCTGTTAATTTTTACTTTACATGTTAGTGATATGCTACATATCTTGTCCTCCTGGTGAACTAAACATTTTATCTGATAGAGCAACTGTATCTCCAGGATTGCTTGCTATAAAGTCTATTGGATTTGATATAAATACAGTGATGCCGGGTTTCTTTTGGCTAATATTTGTCTTTTACTCTCAAATTTTCTGCATTATAATTTAAGTGCATCTCTTGTTAATAAGAGGATTTAAGTGGATCTTTTAAATCCTATATAATCATCTGTGCTATTTGGTGGCTAAATTTAGTTCATACATATTTATTGTGATTATTTACATACATGGAATTATTTCTACCATTATTATTTCTTCCCCTTTTCTAAATTTCTGAGTATATTTGTTTCTTCTCCTTTTTGTCTTTGAAATTATTTGAATTTTTTCCTCTCATCCCATCTTTTATTTCTCTACTGGTTTTAAATTATAAACTCAGTTTCTTTTTTGTTAGTAGTTACCGTAAAATTTTACCATGCTACTTAACTTACATTTTAAAGCATGATGGTTAATTTTATATGTCAACTGAACGGGGCTAAGGGATACCCAGAAAGCTGGTACAACATTATTTCTGAGTGTGTCTGTGAGGATGTTTTCAAAAGAGATTAGTATTTGAATTGACGAACTGAATAAAGTAGATTTTTCTTCCCAGTGTGGGTGGGCAGCATTAAGGGCCCAAATAGAACAAAAAGGCAGAGGAAGGGTGAATTTGCTCTCCCCATTGGAGTTGGGACATCCATCTTCTCCTGCTCTGGGACATCAGTGCTCTCCAGTTCTCAAGCCTTTGGCTCCTCTGGTTTTCAGGTCTTGGACTTGGACTAAATGATACCACCAACTTTCCTGTTCTCCAGCTTGCAGACAGCAGACTGGGGGGTATCTCAGCTTCCATAATTGTGTGAATCAATGCCTATAATAAATATCCTATTGGCTCTGTTTTTTTTTTTAAGGAGTACCCTAATACATAAAGTTAATCATTACCTTTGCCCCGCTACTTAACATTATAGGATCTAGTAGTACTATAATCCCAAATAATTTCTCCTTTCTTATATACCATTGGTGCACTGTGTCTTTGTTCTCTCGTGTATTTTAGCCAAATTAGAAAATATTATTTTATACAATCACTGTTTGTGTAAGTTGCTCATATGCTTTACCAATTTCTTTACTCATGCATTCCTTCTTGCATTGCAGACATTCCATATGAGATTATTCTGGCTAAAGGACTCTCTTGATACTTTTCTTTAGTAAATGTTACTGGTGGAAAATTCTTTTAAGATTTTTTTTCCTAAAAATATCATTACGAATTCTCTCACTTCAGTTTTTCCTAAAAATATCATCATTAAATAGTTTTTCTGGGTATACAGTTTTAGGTAAGTAATTATTGCTGTTGAGGTATCAGTTAGTCAGATTGTTGCTGATTTGTCAATAATATGTTTTCTTTCAGGCAAATTTTAGATTGTTACTTAGTCTTCAGTGTTTTTCAGTTTTACTAGGATAAGTCTAATTGTAGATATATTTTATTTATCTTGCATACAGTTTCTTAACTCTAAAATCTTCACTTTCTATAATTTTGAAAAACTCTGTTATTCTCTGTTCAAATATTTCCTTTCCATTCCTCTTTCTTCTCATTTCTCTCCACTTTACAATGCTTGTTTGGTATTAGACTCTCTCCTCTTCCCATGTCTCTTAAACTCTCTTTCATATTTTCTCTCTTTAACCCGGCATCCTGAATTCTGGGTAAATTCTTCAGGTCTATTTTCCAGTTCATTAATTCTTTCTTCAGTTTGGTCTAATATGCTCTTTAACTCATCCTCTCAGTTTAAGTTTCAATTGTTATTGTTTTTGCTTCTCAAGGATTTATTTTTCTTTTTCAAATTTGTTTGGTAATTTGTAGACATTTATTTATTAACATTTATTTTATTTTTTAAACTTACTAAGTATTTTTATTGAAAAATTCCAATATCAGAAATACTGGCTCATCTGATTCTCCTGTATATTGTTTCTGCTGGCTTCCATTGAAGACATCTTTTTCCTTTGTGTGTATTTTGTGATTTTTAACTGTGAATTCATGTTCTGTAGAATGTTATCTAGGGAAATATTTTATGGTCAATGTTGGAAGTGGATTTCTGCTTAGATTATTGTCACTTGATTTTGTGAGGTGACTAAGGCACTAGTGACCTA